GATTATTGAAACATGCGTGGCAAATATGTAATCGTTGCAAACTTGTGGGTGGAAAAATGTAAATTTCCCAAATAATATATATGTATATACATATACAAAAAAAAAAATATGAAGAGAAATATATATATGTATATATATATATATATACTGACTGGAGTAAACAGGTTTCTTGGGCTTGGGAGCAGCTTTGGTAGTGGGTTGAGCAGTTGTGGTAGTGTCTTGAGCAAGATTGTCACTAGGTGCTGCTTCTGAAGATTTAACGGCTCGGATACTTAGCGATAATCGAGCGGGTAAAAGTCTCGATTTTGTGAAGAATGTTGTTGCTGTTGATGATGATGTGGTTGAGAAGGAGCCATGAGAGAATGATGTTGAGAATGCCATAATTGGGAAAAATAAAATTAAAAATAATATATGGTCTGAAAATAAGTTTTACTTTAGTGTCACTTGTTAGTTAATATCAGTTGGTATGTAGATAAGGTTTACTATCTCTCTACTGTGTTGTGTGTGCTAGTTTGTTTCTTAGGGTTTTTTTTTTCTTTTGTTTTTTTGGCAGATTGAATTGTCAATATTTTCTTTTATTAAATGAAAGGGAGATACTATAGTATCTATATTTTGGTGATAAAAAAATTGGGCAAATTGTAAATAATCGCCAGGCACATACTTAAATGCACATATATTTAGATGAAAAACAATTTCGCAAATAAGTCAATCCCTCTTGTAATTTGTCCAAAATATCATTTGAAATATAATTTACATCAGTTTCATCCATACTATTCTAACTTAATAAATATTGCACACTGTCCCCCAATTTTAACAAATATATCACATTAACTCCAATTTTTATAATTTTTTGAATTTTGATGTTTAAGAAAATATTTTTTTCTTACCGCTGATCGCGTTGACCTTTTTTTTTTATTTTTTTCTTTCTAATTTTTTATTTTTGAATTATCTTCTTTTTTGCGTTATTGACCGGTCAACGCCGTAAGATTATTGTGAACACTACAATAATCTTACTACATCTTATAGAGTAAATGATGTGTTGTTTACTGAACATGATTAATGATTAATGATGTATTAAAGTGTTATTTGGCAAAAATGTCCTCATTAATTTTGCTAGATGTAGGCCTCTATATTATTTTTGTGAGAAATAATTAGGGCAAGGTTGTATTTTCACAATTATAACTTTAAGTGGTGAATTATGATGTATCAAAAATCGCATATCTTTTTTTTTTTTTAAATGAACGAAACCGGCAAACTGCAGTCAATTATATAGGTGCACTCGATAAAATTACACTCTTTCGATACTAGCTTGCAAACCATACGACAAAAAGAATCAAAAAAATAAAATAAAATCACATATATTAAATGTCACGAGTCATCCTATGATAAATCGAGTTAATTGCATACACCCGTTGTAAAATGTCTAATTGTCGTAAAAGCTCTTATGTTAAAAAAAATTAGCATGGACCCCCTATGGTGGGTTTTATTCAGCCCACTGCCTCCATTAAAATAAAACCCGTTGACTGTCATGAAATGACTTCACTATCCTTGTGAAGATGTATTGCGTTGATTAACTCTCAAAATTCCTTTTCCCCAAATCGCGAAACAGGTCCACACCCCAAAATCCTCTTTCATCTCTCACTAGACCCACTCTAAAAAACCCTAGAAATCCATTTTGTTTGCGAATCTCCATTTTGTCATGCAAATAGTGAAATAAACATGCGAAAAATCAACAATTTTGTGTTGTGATCCTTTTAAATAACTTCATCAAACTCGTCAGTTTCATTCGGCAACTCTTGTTCAATATATTCCCAATTTCGATATTATATGGTTGTCCCAATAGATTCCCAAGTTGATCCATCTGGCGCACACCAATGGAAAAAATTGCATTGATGAAACTCACAAGAATAATACAATTTTTCTGTTGATGGTTTTGTTGAGGTTACAACAACCCTTATAGTGCTTTCACTTTGCACGAACAAAATGACATGAATGGATACCTCAAATTCATTTGTTGGTTGCAATTTTTAATTCTGTGCTGCTACAGGTGCGAAAAATCATAATTTCTCAAAATCCAAAATTTTAGAAATTGGGAAAAATCCAAGGACCCTAATCCCTCAAATCAGGCAAACGACAACAAACTTTGGAGTATTGACTAAAAAATTAGAAGATCTGAAAATTGAAAAAAAATCGAAGAACTGTAATCCCTATAATCAGAGACGCATGAAGAATACGGAGAAGAAAAATTGTGAGAAGGAGAGTAGAAATAAGGGTTAAAGGGGTACATCCGACTTTTCACGTGAGCAAATGTAAAAAAAAATAACAACAAGCCGCACCAACTGCGCGTACATCACACGATTTTGTGATAGCGGGGCGGGTGACTTTGACTTTATCACATAGGAGGGTTCATGCTAATTGCTTTAATATACGGGTTTTTCCAACAATTAGACGTATCACGTGGGCAGTGCTTGCTAAAACCTCATAAATCTTTAATGTGTTGGGCCGAAACTTTAATATTCAGCTTTTTGGAGGACCCATATTAGAAAGTAAATAAAATATTAGGTTGAGTAAAATAAGCCTAGGATTGGAAATTAGAATGGAGTTTTGGATTTTCGCCGATTTGGATCTGATTTTTTCTTTTTGGTTTTGGAACATTATTTTTCATTTCGATTCCCAAAAAATTGCCGAAAATAATTTTGAAAAGTCAGACTCTTTTCGAAAATTCCTATTTTTTTTAAAAAAAAATTGCACTTATCTATCAAAATTTTCAATTTTGGCACGAATTGTTTTAGTCCAATTTTTGAAATTTTGATTTTCGTTTTTCTTTTCTCCATTTTTTGCGAATGGAATTGGAATTACTTTTTACTTACGAAAAAAATCGAAAGTTTTCAAAAGTGCTACTTCTGATATGATCCGTCTAACCCCCGCTCCTAAATAAGCCTTATTCTACAATCCGGAAATTCTTGCATTTAATCCATTATTTATTATCAACACAAGTTATGGTGAGTATGTGTATATTATGAATTCTTTACAAATTATACGACAAGTAAACCGGCGTAATTTTATTTTAGAACGAACAAGACATATTTCACAAGTTTTAGAAAATATATGAACACACATTGACCTAAATCGACAAATGTTCTTCGCACAAATACCCATTCATAAGGAAGACCGTGTGAATCCGGCTCTATACGATTGGTTTTTAACGATCTTGTACATGTTACACCTGATGAAAGATACCGGAATATTTTGCACCGTCGATTTACAAATAAAATACATACATATATGTGAATGTATATATGCATTGAGTAGGTATTTATACAGATTTATAGCATATAATCAGTTGATGTATTTAATTAGATGGCTTTTGAGATCCTACACCGGGTGAAATACACCGGGTAGATCTTTACCATTCATATACACACAAACACACACACACCCACATTGGTATGTGTAGATCAACGGTAAAGATTCACAAAATTTGACTAATTCATGAGTCCAACCAGGGCTTTTGAGATCCTACACCGGGTGAAATACACCGGGTAAATCTTTACTGTTCATATACACACAAACACACACACACCCACATTGGTATGTGTAGATCAACGGAAAAAAATCACCCGGTGTAACCTTCACCGGGTGTAGGATAGATAAAACCGTCCAGTCTACCATTAATTTCTACAATTAAATCTTTAGAAATTTAATATAGTTGACTAGTAAAATACTATTATTTTAGTGAAATATTAAATTATTAAACAAATAATTTACCATGTTTTTATTGAGTCGGAACTAGGAGAAATTATTATATAAATGAAGTTATTAATTTATCGATATTCTACTGTCGATTCAGTTATAGTGTATGTTTAATTTTGTAAAAAAATCGAGATCCATACTAAAAATTGAAGAGTAATGCCAAACACTCCCTAAGCAGGTAAGCTGCAATCGAATCGAAATAGAAGAATTGGCGACTGGCGGAGTTTATTGATTCAACGAAAATTTGTTAGCTTTCCCAATCAAATTTCTCCCAAATGGACAGCGATTCCAGAAACCCTACCTCCGATCGCCACCCCAGTCACGGCGGCGCTTCCACGAGCATTCTTCCCATAACAGCAACCACCGACGACATCGCACCGTCCAGCAGCAGATTGGCCCGGGTCGAATGGCCCACCATTGATGGCCCGCTTGGCCTCTCGCACGAAGATTCGCTTGCGTATGCTCGCAGATTCTTCAAATTGGGATTTTTATGCCTGCCTTTCCTTTGGGCCGTCAATTGCTTCTATTTCTGGCCAGTCCTTCGCAACCCCCATTCTCATCATTCAAACCCTCGCCTCCGCACCTGTAAGTTTAATTTTTTTTTACAGTTATTTAGAATTTTAGTGCTATAATGTGTATTGTGCTGTTTGAAACTGAATTTACTGTGATTTTTTAATTTTTTAATTTTAATTTTATTTTTATGAATGGTGGATAACCTAATTCTAGCCCACCATTTAGTTTATGGATAGTGTATGCAGGTAGCTGTAGAATATTTGTATCAGGTTGTAGCTAAATTTGGTTGTATTTTATGTTGCTATTGGGTTCATGTAAGTCAATCCGATATATATATTTATTATATAAGGAAATTATTTACTTTCTGAATGCACATCTGAGCTTAGCTCTCGCAGCAATATTTGAAATCAAAATCACGATCATGGTCGCGAATAATGCAATAGAATCTAATTTGGCACTATAACATCTGCCTATTGAACTATTGAGTAAGTACCAGTCTTATCTATGAGCAACAAACCATAGCAAGAACATTTTAGTTAGATGATTAATTCTTGCTGAGATAAGTTCTCGGTTTACTTTATCTAATTTGTCGGTGGGTTCATGATGTAAGATAACCAGCGCCATTTTACTGTTTTAGTGCACTCACCTATACTTGAAAGGAGAAAATTAACGTTCCGGGGTTGGAAGGAAAGGAGAGGAAAAAAAGTAGCAAATGATTAATTTGTTCTAACTCTAATCCTAGATGACAATGATGTCCACTGAAACTGAAAGAATAACTTAAGTTTAAAATTTATAGGCGAACTTTGAGGCCAATTTTTGCACTTGCTGAAATGCCTATAGCAGAAAACTGTTTTAAAATTTGTGATAAGCTATCAGTAAAACTTGAACTCAACGCTCATTTGGTAACTAAATTATCTTTAAAGGAGGCTTCCCTTGAACTGAAAAAGTCCCAGAATTTCCCTCCCGAGTTACTTTTTCGTGAGTCTGATTTGCGTACCCATACAAAACATATCGATTCATCTGATGGTAGGCCACCTGCCTTAGAGTGGGTATGTCTCCCTTTCTACAGATTGTCACTACAATGCAAACTTATCCTTCTTAGTTCTTATAACTCCAGCTTTCAGCATTTTAACTTTTTCTTAATCTCTGTGGTTCATCTACTATTTTTAGTTCTTAAGCTTTGTAATTTAGCACTCCTCCGATTCATTTTAAATGATACTGTGACTGCTATTAACAGATCTTGTTGGATCAGCAATTGGTTTCACGGTGTTCACAGCTATTCTATCCTCATGGGCTCTTACCTTTGCCATTGGAGGGGAGCGTATGTTTGGGCATGTTTGGAAGGAATTGGTATTGTACAATGTGGCTGACAAATATGGCTTAACTGGATGGATCTAGATATGTTCCTATTTCCTACTTGTATACGTTCGGTATCTACATGCACTAGTATGTATTTTTTTTTCCTGAAAACTATTTGGGGTGTTATGTTCAGTTACTGCCTTTTAATTACGGCTTTATAAACAAGTTGCTTTGTTGTTGTTGTTGTGCTAATCACAGGGGTTGTGTTTTGAAGTCCCTTTTCCTATTAATGACACATGGGCTCTGTGGTTACTGTTTGATATAAAGGATGCAAAATTTTGTTTTTTTCGTTCTTGATTATATGAGTAGCAGTCTTAATTCTAAAACCCCAAAGGAGATAACACAATTGGAATCTTTAGAAGGTAACTATCATTCTTGGTTTGGAGATCACCACAAAATATAGATGCCGATTGGAAGTTTTGGAGTTACATGTTATTATATTGTTCTTTGTTAATGTGATGGTATGGGATTACAACAAATTCAACCAATTATGCACAGCTTAAACTTGAAACTGCGAACTGGAATTCTGTAGGTCTTATAATTCTGGGCTCATTGAAATTGTCTGACTATGTATAATTGCCTCAGATTGTGTGAGTGAACGTCTAGAAACAAAGTTCAGCATAGAGTTTGTTTTCTTGGATTGAGAGGTGCTTACGGTTTTTTTATTCTACTCGTCTTTTTTCAGTAAATAAATAATCATAAATCTGCACTGAATTAGTAGTGATACAAAGTACGAAAAGATAATATATCCGTTCTTGCTAAGGTCTTTCTCTGATTACTCGAGAATTAATCGGGGAAAAAAGAAAAGGAAATCTTTGAATATGTAGTTTCCTTGCTAGTGTTAGAGACAAAAATGGTTTGGGAGCAGATTAGGTGGATACTCATTAACATTTAGGACAGCGTGCTAGGAACATGCTAACAAATTGCTGCAAGATTTTACGTTTAATTACTCAGTCTAACTTGTTATGAAGCATGCGGGGTAACATTCAATAGAATTGGTATTAATTGTGAATATAAACTAAACTAAAACCTGCAACTACTGACTGATGAAAAAAATAATAAAGAATAGATCAAAAAGGGAAAATAACTTTCATGTTTCAACTCCGGCCACTTTGCTTAATGAAACTAGAGCAGCATATGATCAAAAGCTGTTTGGGAAGTATAACCCGGAAAGCTTGTAAGAAATTCACTGGTCTATTGAGTTTACACGAAAGCTTCCAAAGGGTAGCTGTTGAACTTGTTTTACACAATTTGCTTTTGCAAACCGCTCAAATATTCAAGAAAGATTCTTTTTTCTTGCGAATCGTTGACAGTTTGTTGGATTCCTATAAGTTCCTCATTAATATATATTTTGGTTTTCATCTGCTTCATCCAAGGAGTAGAGCAGCGTAACGATGTACAGATTGTTCTATCACTTTTGAACATTCATTCAGCATTCATATACTTTATGAACTGTACGTATTTGCATGGTATTCTGTTTGAGTCAACATGAGAAGCTTTGCATTTATAAAGGTCAATTGGACACAGTCCAATGACCCGCGGAAGAAGTTCTTTGCTTATAAGAAAGAAAAAAGTTATTTGAATTTTGTATACTTTCAGATGACTGAAAAAGTTTCTGCTTTCAACTCCATTTTCTCGTTTTACTTTATTGGGTTTTTTCAATTGTACGTAGCTGATATATTGTTTTAAGTTTATTAGTGTCTTAGCTCAGACAATTGAGATGCTGGCTTTTGACTACTTCCCAGAGTAAATCCGTGACTATCAGGAGTCAGGACCAATAGCAAGTGACTTCGAGAAGGTTGGTTGGCTTATTTCTTAAAGTTGTTTATTGTGAACAAATTTAAATAGGTTTTTGTATTTCCAATCTGTCAATTTTCCCTTACGAGGCTGGGATAGATAATATATATCTAACTAATTCAGGAAACCAGTTTGAAGTTTTGCTTTTGGCTATGGTGGCTGCTGTTCAATTTTGACGAACACTTAAATTTTCTTCTTTTGTAAAATTAGTGACACCGTTTGAATAAATTTGGCAGTTTTACTACAAATGGAATAATAGCTCTTATGGTAAATAGACTCGGACGCACAATACAATATGTTAGATAACGCGTACTATTTCCTATAGATAATTGGAATTTTCAATAGCAATGGAAAAACATATAAGATATAACTCTTTGAGCAAAGAATGGTTATGATTTTTAATAGAGTTGTGTATGGTTAACTATCATCTCTTAGTATGTGCATTTGCCTTCTACTTCACACTGTAATATATACTCAGTCGTTTCAATTGATTAGCTGCATATATTGGCAGGCTGACAAGCTATTCGAATTTGGAAATACATGCTCGTTATTATTTAGAAAGTTTGTCAACATCCACTTTCTTAATTAGTATTGGAGAGTTTGTCAAATTTCTTTCCTGGTAGGAATTGTGTTAAATTTTCTCGCCCATAGAACGAAAATTGAGAGAATTTTCGAATGAACCTGCATCATGAGAACACCAGTGTATTGTTATCACCGAGTCGTGTTACTATCATACCCCTAAAGGCACTATCAGGAGGAATTAAAATCACTTCATGCTTAAAAGCCGCGCAGCCACATTATTCAGTTTCCTATTGGGGTTCGATAATCGAGCGCCAAAAATCACGGAGTTTTGCAATTCATGTTTTTTTTCCATTAGTTTGTAATAGACGTATTATTTGGCAAAAGAATTCAATTTAATGTCCAGGGATAAGCCAGCGCCTCATGGGTGCTTACACATATATGGGACGCGTGTAAGACAGTTATCGAGGAAATTAGCGTAATTTATTACTCCGTTAAATGGTAAGCGTTTGGAGTGTATTCAGTGAATATTAGGTATCAAATTTAAGCAATCTCACTGGATTGACAAAAGTGATTATGTATTAACTCTCCAGCTATGCGTCCATGCATAACAATTATTACCCGTCCTCCTATATAAACCGGGCTTGCGCCTCTCGATTGAAAACACCATAGAAAACTTTGTGCCCTTTTACTGTTTGGCAATGGAGGCGTTCCTATCATTGAAGAGGAGGCCTGAAAGCAGAAAAGGGCATTGGTCGTGCGATGAAGATAAGCTCCTAGTTGAACTTGTCATACGTCACGGTCCAAGGAATTGGAGCACAATCGGAAAGAAAATGAAGGGAAGAAGAGGTACGTGTTTTAATGTAATTGATTTATTAAATTTTTGTCATTTCTTGAAATTTTTTTTTGTTAATATATAAATCTAAGAAACGGAAGTTGTTGGATCTGAAACAGGGTCGAGCTGTAGGGCGAGATGGATGAACCATCTGAATCCACAGGTTGTGAAAACACCGTTTAGCGAAGAAGAGAAGGAGAGGATTCTCCAGCTTTACAAAGACCACGGGAGCAAGTGGTCTTCTTTTGTAGAGTTTTTCCGTGGCAGAACTGATTGTCAACTGAAGAATCTGTACCACTCATTGGCGGCAACTAGAAAAAAAGCCAAAGAACCGCAGATCCCTTACTGGGCGGCTCCTCCCAACATGGGAGGATCTATGGATTTTTCCGGCGGATCGGGTGGTCTCACTAATGTTTCGCAATTTGCTGATGTGGCGTGGTGGGGGAAAAAGACCGATTTGCCCTTATTCAATGGTGGTGGGGGTGGTTCCTCTTCCATCTATGCAGGGGGTTCGACTTTGTTTGGGGCCCACCGTCCCAATCCAGGTGGCTTTTATCCATTTGAGAACACTAACATTGGAAATGGCTATTACGCCAATCTGGGAAAAAACAATGGAGATCCTATGATGTCTCGTGCTAGATCTGCTGCGCCTCAGGCGAAGGAAGGAGCAAGAATGAAAAACTATCAATTCATCGACTTTTTGGGGGTCGGAAAATTTCAGAATAATTAGCAGCTTTTACTATCTCTGGGAATATTGTTTTATCGTTATTGGTCTTTTCTTCTTTTTCTTTTTCTTTTTCTGTTTTTTTTTTGGGGTTTATTGGTCGTTTGATTTATTTTGTTTTGTCAGTGAACGAGTTTTAGCGTCAAGTGTCTGTGTCGTGTGACTTTGAGCACACATTGTTGTTTGTCGTATGGGGTTTGCAAGAGAAACTCGGTCCTCGGACGAGTACTTGATTCTCTTGCTTTTTTTATGTTTATTTTATTGAATAAACGATGTTTGAATTCGTCGGAAGTTATGAAAACTTGTGCTATTTGTCTCATATACAAGGTTTTGTTTGGCTATTGTTTACTTATGATGCAATGTTTATTATCTGTAACTTGCTAAAATATATTAATTATCATTTGTTATGATTTGCTTACTGTATTTTCATTTATGAGAAATGAGTGAGAATTTGCTACTTTTTGAAATGAAAAAGAGAGGTATTGATGAGTTGTAGGATTATAAGTATTGTTTTGTGTTATTAATACAATTTATTTCATATGTAGTATGTTGGATTACAGATGTTATATTATATTAATTATTATGTGACTTTTTGCTATTTTTATTTTTTTTATTTTTTATTGAAAGGACCTCATGAAATCATAAATTCAAAATTTGGTCAATTGGCACAATTTGTCTTTTGCTCGTCTCGACCTGTTAGTCCACCACTCGTGGGCTTAATTAGTGGGTTGAAAAGTTAATTTGCTTTACCATTAATTTTTTTTTTTAAAGTTTTTTGTTATGTTTTATTAATCAACCCCACAAATTTATCCAAAAAAAAAAAAAAAACAAAAAAAAAAAAAAAGAAAAAAAAAACAAAAACAAAAACAAAAAAGAAAAAGAAAAAAGAGGCCCAGTCATTTCAAACTCAATTTATAGAATTATTATTCAAACAAGCTTAATAAACTTGACATTCTTCTAAAAAAAATGATGTTAAAATTTTAATAAATTTGATATTGAAAATCCAATGTTTGTTTATATTTTGGACATGACAGAAAAGACTGCAGTAGTCAAATTATGTTTAAAGGTATATATTTGGGACAATTTTTTTTTATAGAATTTTTTTATAGAAGAAGCATTAAAAAAATAATGTAATATTTATTTGTTTTTATAGTGAAAATAGTTTTTGTTATTGTAATAGTCAAATTATGTTTAATGGAGCAATAAACTTTTGGAATTGCTTTTTAGAATTTGATTGAAAAGTTTAAGAAACATAAATTCATTTTCGGAAGACAGTGAAAAGATAATGGGAAAACATTTATATTGATTTTCTTTTCCTGCACTATTAATTGTATTAAAAAAAGTCCTTAGGCATTTGTAGAGGAATTTATTTCCAATAAAAACAAGAAACAATTAATTAATTGTTTATCCCATATTATTGTTATTGTCATGTTTTGCATTATGACCACTTGTTACAGGGGTGATAGTGTTAGATTTTACAGAGTTTTGGGTTTCTGTTTTGAATTTGTAAAAGATCTGGGGTATACCCCAGAAAATTTGTACTAACTTTGATTCTGATACAACAATTTTACATTGGACCAAAAAAGAAAAAAATAATAAAAAATCCCCCTATTAAGCATGGAGAAGAAGTTGCTTGGAGTTGCATTCATTCTCTTTCTCTTCATATACTTGAAAAATTGGACGTTGATATCCACCCAAATATACAAACAGGTACTAATAGTGATAAGCATGTACCAATGTATACCAATCGAAAACAATCGAAGCATTACGATCCTATTTGGTTGGCAAGATAAGATTAGCTAAGATAAGATTAAATAGTCTGATGAAATCCGATTATTTTAATGGAACTCGCAACATACAACAAAAAAATACACTAGAAAACAAGATAAGACAAGATAAACCATGATTATATAATTTTAGCGGGTCGCCCTGGCAATTTATTGAAGATACCAAATACCAAATTAAGTCCAACTATTTAGTTAATCTCGACTTGTCTTGGCAACCAGACGGGTAAAGATTACAATTGCATTCGGTACGATATTAGTATTCAGTACCTTACCACTATATTGCAATACGACAGTGGTATTGAATTTCTAATACCACAGTTATATCATCATAACGTACTGTAATTTATACTTTTATAATTTAACTACCATTTTGTTCCATTTTTACTTGTTAAGATTTATTAAATAAAAAGATAATGATTACTTAATGTTATTACCTACGATAAAAGTTAAGATCAAAGATGTAAATATCATTGTGTAATAATAATTGAGTTAATGGCAAAAATGTCCATGACAAATGCACTTAATTAAAAAGGGGACATCCAATTTCTTTATTTTTCAAATAATTCTAGCTCATTCAAACTTAGTTGCAAATAAGAAAAACTCTTTTTACATATACCAAAATTAAACCCAATTTCTTGAAATCCAACTCAACTTCACTTTGATGATTTACCCGGACCCGGCCCAGACCCTCCTAAAAGTAATATAGTGGACTAAAAGTCCGGATATCGAACTCACAGGGAATATTTAAGTATCTAATCCTAGACGCTAAATTCTACCAATTATGATCAAGCCCACCCTACACAGTCGAATTTTAGAGAGAATTAACTAAATTAAACTAAATTAAAAGCAAGCAAAAACAAGAAAGCAATTTAAAACGAAGATTTAATCAAAGTAAACAAGCCTAGGATTTTATTCTTTCCCCTATGTGATTATTACTCCCCCAATTCCTTCAATTATGCAAGCAATTAACCCGGATTATTAACCTGAGATGCTAAAATAATCATAACCCGCTTCCGCGTGTATTACGATTCTAATACTCTAGATTCAATTACTATATTCCTATGCAATTAATTCTAGAACACAACATTAAGCACAAATCTCAATAATGGCTACCTAAGAGATTAACTATATTCCTATGTTAATACCACAAAGTCTCTTCTACCACAGTTCTAATTATTAACCCGATCTTCCGATTCATGCGATTACAATAACATAAAAGCACATAAGTTGATCAAGTTCATGCACTTAATAAAACAAGTAGAAGAAATAATCCGCAATTAAAACTTGCATAAAATCATAGAAAATGGTTCATAAATCCCACATGGGGTTCCAAATAAAATCCTAGAAATAAGAAAATTAGCTACTCATGATTAAAGGAAAAACACAAATAAAATAAGTCATAAACGATAAATCTATGCTTAGAGTCTTCGAATTCTTCGTCTTCGTTATTGCTTTGTTGCTCTCTAAATTGCGTAAAAAAGAATCTCAATTGTGTGCTTGGCTTGGTCTTATATAGGGTGAAGAACTTGGGGAAGAAGGCAGTTTCCTTGTGCAATTAAAATCCCTTTACTGCGCAACTTCGGAGTCTCGGACGGGGGTCTCACAATTTGCACTAAAACTGGCACGGGGGTCCGAGCCTTGTTTCTTCAGAATTTTGATTTTTTCACTTTTGGCCCATATTTTCTCCAAAATTTCAGTTTTGACCCCATACTTTTCCAATTCTTCAATTTGTACCTAAAATACAATAAATCAACTTTTTAAGCACCAATTATCCTTAAAACACACCAAAAGCTCAAATAAAAAGGTACGATAAAGTGTAAAAATATACACTTAACATCTACCCGGCGGGGGCGCCCGAGGACTCGTCGGGTCAACCCGGAATATCAAGTTTTCTTTGTCCAAAATTGAGCATTGGGGGATTCAAACTCCGGAAAATGGGCAAAATTGGGCAACTCTAACAACTGGGGCAACCAATATACTTAAGTAAATGTAGACAATACATATATATAATATAAAACGCTAGTGTAAAATGATAAATATGTTAAATAAATTATTAATTTTCATATTAATTATTATTAAATAAATTTAATTAAATTATTAACAAATGCAATATAAGAAAATTCTAAAAAAATATATAGAATCACGGTTCAATACTTCAAAACATCTATTATTAATTATTATATCAATATAATCTCCATTATTGAAAAATATAAAGTATTGAATCAATTCAATATATAAACAAACACATTGACTTAATACAAACTCACTTATGTTATTAAAATCGATAGTGCAAAAAAATCGGATGAAAAATAAAATAGGATGTTTATTTAAAAAAATAGATTTTAAGTTTTAACTCATTTCAATTAATTTAAATCGATTAACCTCAATTGTTGACAAGAACTTATTAAAATTATTGATTATTTTATCAAAAGAAAATTATTTTGAAAATATAGATGATGTTTATTTTAACAAAAATAAATTATATCTCATTCTAATTAATTTCTTACTTCAAAACTAAAACTATACATGAGGAGTATAATTGAAATATTTTGATGTGATTTCTCTTTTAATAATTAGTTTAGTTTGTAAAAATCGTAAGAATTAAATCGTAGGTCATATGATTTAATCATTTTTTTACATTTACATTTTATTCAAATATTAGAATCGAATCGTAAGATTTAAATGGATTAAGCTCAACTCCTTGCAATTTTTTTTATTATATTATATTTGTTAATAATTTAATTAATATTATTTAACGATAATGAATATGATAATTAATAATCTATTTAACATTATTTATTATAATCATTTTACACCTTTTGTTTATGTGATATATATTTCGTGCAAGTAATTTTACAAATATTTGTCTTGGCTCACTCGTTTGGATTGCCACTCGTGTGTGTGGGAACCCGAGCTCGAATCCCATGCACATCTCAAATTTTGAACAAAATTTAAAAATCCGGTCCGGACGCGGACCTGGTCCGGAACCGGGTGGACCCGAGTGGACCTGCCCCGGACCCGGACCCGCCTCCCGGCGGAGACGGTTTCGGGTCCTTTAAAACTCGGACCTGGACCCGGCCCGCCCCGTGGCCGTGTCTTCCTGAGACCACCGTTGACCTTTTTTAATTTCTTTTTGATTTTTTTTGTGATTTTTTTTTCCCCGGCAAGTCAACCATCAGTCTCTCGCGTTGACTTTTTTTTTTGATTTTTTTTTTCCGGCTAGTCAACTGCCGTTGACGCTGGTCTCCAGCGTTGACTTTTTTTTTATATTTATTTTTAGGGTTTATTAGGGATAACCCCCTTGTTCATATTTTCTAATGAGGTAGATCCAATTAATTTTTCCCTTTTTGAGATACACCCAAATTTGCCAACTTGGCAAAATATATTATATAATTTC